AGTAATTTGATTTGCATGGGCTTTTGTAGTCCGGATCAAATGGGACTATTCAAGACCTGAACCACAATTTGATACTGGTTTAATGAAGGCCAGCATGATAGATGCATAGCTGACTTTTTTTAAAATAATCCTTGTTTATTTTTGCCATGTGCCCTGGCTTTGTCAGTAAGCTTTGCTTCAGATCCAAGTGCCTCCACGTTTGTTTGTTTATTTATTTGCTTGCTTGCTTACTTACCATGTTGCAGGGTTTGCCTGTATTTTTGTGGTTTGTCTCGATTTCTTCAAATGGCTGATCGTTTTTCTATTATTCTACTCTTAGTTGTCTCCGAGCCTAAGTACAGGCTTAGATGACTTCCTCAGCTACACAAAAGTCACAAGGAGAGGGATTGACTGGAGGTTCTCCCTTTTAACTTTACACAATATAATCTGTAGCTTGAACTGTCATTATTATGGATTAGACAAGACCAATCCTGGTTATTGTGTTGGAAGTTTTGGCATAGTACGGGCTGCAGGACTTTCCTGAACTTATGTCTGTTCATGGATACTTGCTTTCCTTGGCCACGGTTCTGTTGGTTTTGTTCTGTGTTGGTTTTGAAAATGATTAACTTTCTGTAATGAACCAAACTGTGCTATCACAGTTTAGGCGGTCCCTGATTGTATTTGCTTATGTCTCCATCCCAGATCTCAGCACAACTAAGGCCTGGAAGGAATGTGGCTGCTGTCCTTTGACCGGTTCTATCAGTGCTGTGACATCTTTAGCGTTTCCCGTGGTGGGGACAGTCGTGCGGGGCTTGTTTAAACAGCTCATGTGAACAATAATGCTCCTTGTAGCTGGGTGGCAGCCTTCCAAGATCAGGCTGGAGAACAAAGTCCCTGCAAGAGAGGTGAGCCCTCCGCTTTCTGATCTGCGCAGTGAGTGGAAGGTCACCCCACACGTGTTGCAAAGGGCTTTTTTTGTCTTTGGAGTTCGCCTAAGCCGTGTTTTATCAGTCTCACCAAAAAGATGGCAAAGTGTTTTGGCTAACAAACAAATATGCTGTTTAGAAAACACCACCCATTTCACTGTTTGTAATTTTCAGTGTCATTTGACTGTATACTCTTGTAATTAGATGGTGTAAAGTACTTAACGTGTTACACGAATATGTCAAAACGCATTAACAGCACAAGTGTTCTTTACTGCTTTCGTAAATACGTTTCACAATATGTCATACTAGAATCCACCTCTTGTCGTTATTTATAAACTGCAAAGAAGTTAAGATCACCAAGAATTAGATGATTAGCATGAGACTGGCTTTCAGTACTAAGAATATATATTACCGTGGTAATGCGCAGAGTGAAGCATACCGATTCGTTGTCATCTAAAATGAGAAGACAGCCTGGAATAAAACCCAGCAAATTGTGGTTTTCATATTCACTTGGATCAACTTTCTGCTGCTGCTTCTTGATTGCAGTTCAATTCAACTGCTTCTCTGCAAACTTTCGGGTTCCCTCCAGACTTTGCATTTCATAGAATCATAGAATGGCATATTTGGAAGCCTTTTAGGCATTATGTTGCTTCGAATGGTATTTGGCCATAGTTTCTGATGTGTTGGGAGCCCAGCCCCACACCTGCTTCTGAGCAGGATCTTTTCCATAGAACCAACAGCTTTGCAACACTTTATCCTGCCAAGGCAACAATTAACTAAGTAGTTTCCTTATAAATGAGAAGATAGGACTTGTGACTTCCTCAAACACCATCACCTGTGCTGAACTTCCAAATGCGCTGTAGCGGTATTCCCACAAACGTGGGGTTTGTGTGTGACCCAGAACCCCTGGCAGTCGCCTTCATTCCAGTATCGTCACCCTTGTGATCCAGGCAGGCCTGGGGACCAGACGTCTCGAGGAGACACTTCTGGTGTGGACCTGCGAGTGAGGGACGCTTTCCTGCCTGCTTGCCTTGCCTGTGGAGACTTGAGTGCTGTTTGCAAACTGAGAGGATGCTGTTGCTGCGTCCTACACATGCTTTCCTGCACTGTGCAAGCTTGGGTATTACTTCCATACACAGCGTAAGCTTTGCAGTTTCAAGGATCTAATCTAATAATAGATTGGTCTACATTTGCTGCGTTGCCAGAAAAAGACATATGTTGTCAGGCAGTCGAAGTCAGCAACGGTGCTAAAGTGGAAATGTGCTGAAACATGAAGAAGGGAGAGATCCAGAAGAATCTATCCGAGGTTTGGCTATTAGGAAACTAGAAATACTGTCTCCTTACATACATACTTTCCACACGTACTTAGAGAAATGCTCTTCACCTGATGTCTCAAACTGTTTTAAGGGCAATTATTTTCCTTTCCTGGCTTTGGTGTGATTATAGAAGATGCTGTTGGCATTCAGCTTATCGAGAAGTGGTGTAAGAGGGAAGAGGCTGATTGGAATAACTTGAGTGGAAGAGGCATGTGTAGTACAGTGCGGGAGAGAAATAAGACGTTGAGTTCCCTCTGACACTGATGATTCAAGACACAATTTTTGAGTTGCACTCACAGAGGAATTAGATCTTTACATATCTGTGCTGAGGCATAGGTTTTAGGGTAAGGACTTGAGTCCTCAAGAAAAATTTTCCACGCCGTATTTTATCGTACAGTGTTTGCAATTCAGATTCAAATTGCTTTTAAATTCAGCTGGTTCTATGCTGCTGACCTTTTACAGAATTGCAGTGAGGTGAGGATTGGGCTTTGAGATGGTGTATGAAGGTGTGAGGGTTTGACATGCGTTCTGAGACAGCAATTACAGGATTTCATTTGTATGTGTCTCTTAAAAATCATCACTTCTAGGTGAGTGCTAAGAAAATGGCATCTATCACAATCATACTGTTTCTGTTAGGGTCAGTGTGTGCACGCAGACGTGTATTACTGTTCTGGAACAAAATTCCTTCATAAATGCTATCGCAGATTGGGAAAGATGTATTTCTTTAATATTAATCTTTCCTCCTTTAAGACCAAGTCAAACTTCTTCCTAGTCAGCATGTATGTGGCTTGGCCAGGTAGTAGTAGCAAAGAATTTTATTTCAGTGACTTTTCCAGGGAATTTATCCACCAAATAAATAATAAATGCTTGTATCTCGTGCGACCCACCTGGAGCAGCATTCCAGAAGTCCCTTTTTACCCAGCTTGGATCATCATTGTGCAGTTAAGAAGTGAGAGTAAAAAATTTGGGCTTCTACAGCTTTCTGCTTCTCTTGGCACTGTTCCTGGAGAGAGTTGAGTTAGTAAGTGGGACTGTCACAGTAGCTGTTACCAATGACACAAAATAATTAAGTTGTGGTTTCTGTTGTGGTGGGGCCACTTCTGTATTTTATAGTGATATGTCTGTGCTAGGAGGGAGAATGTCGTGCTTGATTGTTGTGACGGATGCTTCCAGGAAAACAGGATGGGTCTCTAAAGACAGGTTATCTAATACTTTCCATTTACATGAAATCGTGTTGGTTGCATGGCAGGTCGCTAATAGAGCTGCATGTTGTTTCTTTTCGTTTTTCTGATGAGGTGAGGAGGAGGGCAGCAGCCATCTCATTTTTCTCCCTGTTGTTTTTGGAAAGGATAGCTGCAATCTTCGTTCTTTTCAGCCAGTCAAAAGAATGCTCAAGCCAGGCTGATTCTCTAATCAAGGGAATGCTTCCATTATTTGATGACTTGAGCCACCAGTGTGGGATTCCTGGCTTTCAGAAGTCCTGAAGACTTTGGGACACGGATGCTCAGTAGTGCTGAGAAGTCCTGGTAGTCCCTGCTTGCTGAGTCCTGCTGACCTGTGCTCCATGCAGGAATTATACTGTGAATACACTGTGAAATTTGGGGGCCTTAAGAACAATCTTTCTTTTTCCAGTGTTTAAATACTTTCTGTAGGTTGCCTCAGATAAATCTGATACTATTACCGTGTAGCTGTGGAATCTTGCTCTTTAGGCCTTACAGACACAGGCTCTCCCTGTTGCACCCAGTTTAGCTTCCTAAAGGGAACAATTTCTCTTGTGGCTTGAGCGGCAAGGACAGTCTGTGTGCTCTGGTGTGTTTGTGGAGGGGCCAGGAGCCCCGCGTGGGTCGGGTTTGCTGGCCAGCACAGTGCTGATGCTCGACAAGTGTACGCTCTGCTGAAGGTGAACGTGAGCTTGCAAAATGTTGTGCGAGCTTTCCTGTTGTTGCTGGGGACCAAATGGATAGGAAAAAACCCAGCTTTTCAGCTATTTGTGGTGTTAAACATTGAAGCTGAGGCTTTTTCTGTTTGTGTGTCTACAGTGGAAGAATCTCATGTCACATTTGTTTTGTATCTTATGTTAGAGGTGACATTGTGCTCAGTGCTGAAGGAGATGAAGAGGCTGTGCTGCACGGAGCAGAGCAGAGGCAATAGGAGATTGAAAGGGGGGGAAACTCGACCTTGTGTTCATGTACTCGATGGCCACTACCACTTGCATCTTCACCTGGAGCTCCCCAGGGAAGGGGCAAGGACCAGCGAAGGGAGCTGGGGTGCTGTCTGCTGGTGGGAAAAGCCCCTGAAGCAGCAAGCAGAGATACTGGGCCTTGGTTGAGAGATTAGATGTCAAACCTTGACAAGAAACTCCAGCACAAACAGGGGAGTCGGGTTCATGTGTGAAGGAAGGCTTTTGGAGGGTGTTGGAGTGATCAGCTGGTGAGCAACGGCTTTTGCTCTGTGTCAGTGCAATACAGCAGGTCCTCAGCTGTGATGGGAAGCCTTAAGGGCTATGGTAATTAAGAAAAGTAACTAAGAACTAAGTCATAAAGATAATAAGTGTTTTACCAGCTCCGTTGTGCATAGGCAGGCAGCAGGGAATGTGGGTCATGCAGTGCGAGTGGCTGAGCTAGGAATAAAATCGAGGTCTGTTAATGCCTCAGGCCTCTCCGTAAACAACAGACCATGACTCTTTCCTCCAGCACAGCTTGAGTGGGAAAGGACCTCCGGTTTAGGTGAAAGACCAGGCTCCCCTCAATCATGTTCTCCTGTTGTTTGCCTTTGCCAGGTGCAAGTTCTTCAGCCTCACGGAAACCCCAGAGGACTACACCATCATTGTGGACGAAGAGGGCTTCCTAGGTAAGTGTCAGTGTGTGCCACTTCGGTATCCAACCTGGGGATGGAGGAGGAAGATATGTCACCTCTCACTGAGATTATAAACCACAGCATTTGTAAAACAGGTCTGTTTGTCAGTGCTGGTAGTACAGCTGTGAAAGGTGCTTTGATCACTTAAGCACACTGTCTCTGCTGCTGTGCTGTACAAGGCGTTTCACACATGGAATATGAATATATTTTAATGCTGCAAGAAGAGCACACACAGGGCTGAAAGAGCAGGTTAAATGTATTTGGAGAAGCAATGCCATCTGCATATCGTTGTATTAAAAGGAGCTGACCTCTGTCCCCCAGCCTGCACAAGCACACCACATCTTGTGTCTCCAGCTTGTTCATCCAACCTCTCTGTTTAAAAAGGAGCACTTGAAGATGAGCAGTTTGTATCGTCCCCACAGCCCTCACAACGCTGCGAGCTGCGGTCAGCTCCTTCGGCTCCTCATGGAAAGCTGTGACTTATTCCCCTTTCCTACACCCAGCTCTCTCCATACTAAATGTGCCACCTTTGCCCGTGGTGACTGAAGGTCTCTCTCGGCCTGTGTGTCAGAGGAGGTGGTTGGCACGTGCGTGGGAGCTGCAGACCCTTGGCATTGGGAGAGTGAGTGCTGACGGAGAGAATGGTTTGGCTTTCTGGATGGAAATAGTTTGTAATAACATTTATCGTGTGGGGAGGTTTTATTTGTAGTAATGCTATTGAGGTGGTGGAATGAGGAAATGTTGTGCAGCTATTAGTATTTTTGTTCCGTTGCTGCTTTTTGTGGTTGGAATTAAAAGTCTACACATTTTGCCGTTTGGAGAAAATTCATTAAAATATGAAAATAGGAGATTTCGTTTCTGAATAGGTATTAACTGTTGAGTAGCGACTTGTGACACTGTAATATTCAATGGGTTTGTAATATCCAAGCCCTAAGGAGGAAATTAGAAACTATACCATCTTTATTTAGTACAGAGTTAAAGTTTTATAATCAGTAGCATTGCTGAATTGTTCCCCTTTCTGTTTCAGGAGTGCTCCTAAACATATAACAGGGTAAATTATTACATTTTAGAACACTGCAATGATGTCTAAACATTTTCATAAAATAATCACTAGGTTGAGAGTAAGTGAACGGATCTTTACAGCTATGCTGCTGGTGATTTGGGAGTTGTGGGGCTTGACTGAAAGTGCATGTCACGTGTTCTAGTTTTGCTACCAAAAGAGGAGGTCACTTATGATTCTGCTGGCAGAATGTCCCTCATTGCGTTTGTTCAGGGAGCATATGCACAAGGATTTTATTACTACTGTCAGTAGTATCTGCTTTTTTATTATTGGTGGCAGCTGGGGAAAATTGATTCAAAATAGGTTTTGTTACGGTAGTAGGATGCAAAGCATCTCTCTGAGAGCTTCATTGTAAGATAGAAGTCACCAGAGGAGGAGGAGGAGCATTTTTCCAGAGGCTACAGCAGATGACAGAGCAAGGAACCTGGAGCTTCCCATTGTCTGCGATACTGAGCCAGGTTTTCCCTGCAGATTTGCCATGCCAGGGGCACGCTTGTCTCCAGCATCACATCTGTGATGTCCATGGCACTCGTTTCTCTGCCCAGTTGTCACAAGACAGATTATCCTCAGTTCAGTCACTGGTGGCAGATTTGGGTTGCAACCACCTCTGTACAGCCTCTAGCAGCTACGCTGCTATTTATCTCCCTGGAAATTATTCCAGCTGGAAACAACGGTAAGCTCAAGCAGTGGATTTTCCCCATCAGTAGTGGGGGATTATGTTGCATTGCATGTGCCACTGGTTTTACTTGGAGTAAATCCCAGGTCTGGCCAGACCCGTGTCCTCGAGGAGCTGCGTGTCCCAGTGGTGCCCCAGGTTATCTTGGTGAACCAGGCAGTGCTGCTGCACTTCAAAGCAGCAGTCCTCTCTGCTTGGACCCATTTGGCTCCGTTACATTGGCTCTTACAGGCACATGAATTTACTGCTGATGGTTCTGTTGGGCTTTGATTTTGGCAGTGTGTGACGTCCCTTTTTTCAACTACACTGCCTGCAGTTGGGGTGATAAAGCAGAACTTTGCAGAAGAAAAATCACCTTCCAGGCAACACAGGGAAACAAAGGAGCGTGCTAAGGCCATCCTCTGTTATGGCGTGGTGTGGAAGCCAGGTGCAAAACCTGCAGCACGGAGCTAGCAGCTTCATCCCCCTTTCTTTGGTTTTTGCTAGTATTTGATGGTCTGCTGGCAAGACTTGTACACTGCATCCTGCTAACTCTCCTAACACAACCCCTGTGCCCTTTGGGTTTGTGTCTAGCCCATGCTCTTCTTGCTGTATGGTCAGCACCACATCCAAAGCTTCCTCTCAGAGTTGGCCCTGACAATCTCCACTTACTCTCCATCCTTGTTCCTCATTTGCACATGCTGTGGTTCACGGTCTGGAGGAATTCAGGATCTGCCATCCAGGATGCCTTGTAACAGTCAAAGGGCTCTGCCTCACTCCCTGCTTCCCCTCACAGTCTGGCTATAAATGTCTCAGGAGGATGATTCTCACTTGGCCTTTGTATAGTGTATAATCAGCCTGTGGGCTTGAACAGAATGAAAATCTGTAAGAATTGCAGCATCCCACCTTCTTGCAAAACAGCACCAATCATGTCTGCCTCGAGTGCATCAGCTGCTTCTTGACCTGACTAGTGGAGTGCCTGGTTCAGCTGGCAGCTGAGGCAGCAAGTCCAGCAGCAAATAACTTTTTTCTTCTCCAGGTAGCTTTGGTTCTTGCAGTGCTTAACAAACTCAGTGTAAGTCCTTGAAAGGTGGGCTTTTTTTCTGCCTGGAAAAGGGGGACCTTTCTTTCTTAGGCACGTGTATGATTTTTTCCTGCAGCAGCAGCGAGAAGATGGTCCTGTTAGAGCTGGTGTCTGTCATGTTAGCCAGGCCCCTTCTCCTGCCTGTCACAAACACCACTGAAGGGAAAGGAGTAAACTGGAGAAACACGGGCGCTTTCAGCAATCCTTGAGGTTAACACTTCAAACATACTGACATGCAGTAATCGTTCTTAACTGTGTTGTCAAAAAATAATCCTCAGGCTTGTTTCTCTGGGAGTAGCAAGTGAGTTGGGCTGGTAAAGAAGTAATTATTTCTTCTCCCCAGAAAATGTCTGCAGTGCAAAGCCATAACCTGCTTAAGCATTCATCGTGCTAGAAGGGAACAGCTACAGCCTAATTCTTTGCTTTAATTCCCCGGTGGTGAGGTAGGGATTATATCTGCACAGAACCTTGTTTGTGCCAGTGGCTGGTTCTTGGGCTTTGGGCTGTTGGTGAGGAAGAATTTTATTCAGCACAGGGGAACAATGCACAGAAAGCTCTTTTCCTGGCTGATACCGAGATGAATTAGCAGAAGGAGTTTGGCCGTGCGCCCTCCTGTGTGAAGACGAGTGCCTCAGCTACTGGGGTGCTTGGACAGCCATGGAAAATCCTTGCATTTATCCCCTGCTGTGCGGCCAGCGCGTGGCAGAAGAGTCGAGCGGCTGCTGCTCCCTGCAATGTAGGAATATTTGTTTGTGTTTGGTTTGCTTTTTTCCCAAAGGTTTGGCTGATTGTAGGAGCTGCCTGTGTGAGGTACCCCTATGCTCCCTGCACACTGTCCCTCCTTTGACAGGGCAGCAAGGACAGGCTCCCTCCATCTATGGGCAGCTGCACCAGCAGAGCGTTTAGCCTGTGGTCTCACTGGTCCCAGTTGTCTCCATTCATCCAAAGTTTCAGCTCTCCCGCACTGAAACGAAAGCACATGCCAGCACACCTGGAGAAAGCCATGCTCTCGGAATCCCTGTTTATGTGCACCGGGAAGCAGTTGCTGACATTACAGTTCTGACCTGGAGATGCCATCTGAATAAAATAATGGGCTTTGGGGGTAGCAGCATTCCTCCAGTGGCACTCCCAGCAGCTGTCACACTGCACCTTCTGTACTGTACATGCAGAGAGCCTTTTATGGGAGGGAAAGGGGCAGTTTGGGTATTTCTTCTATTTGTTTGTCCCTTTTCTGTTCCTATTTTCTCCAGCTGGTTTGTTTGAAGTCCTGTTCATCCTTTTTTCTTTTGGAAGTCTGGTGCTAGGTTTAGCAATAGCTCTGCTTGGGTAGCTTTCAGTGAAACACCATCTATCTAACGTCCCATTTACAGCACTTCTCTAATTGCACAGCACTGTGAATGGAAGAGCTAGCGCTCTCCATCAACCACCTTTATTCTCTACAAGCCTAATGAAGGCAGAGCCCATCCAGTGTCATCTCGGAAAGTTGGTCCAGTTGCATGGAGGTGAGAGATGTCTACTGTTTACCCTCAGGTATTTCTTTGTTTCATTTATCTTGTGCATCCACTTGAAACAAAGCCAAAATGTTGGATAAGAGCCTTCCCAGAATCGCCACCACTGGGACTTGGCCATGTGCTAAAGGAAAAGGAGCTCCTCTGTGCTATCATTTCTATGGCAAGATGGTCTCTCTGCACCTAGAAGGCAACAACTTCTGCTTTTTGAGTTTCTTCCCTATTTATAATGGAAAGAGGAGTCTCCCTTTTTGAGACCTCTTGCGGGCAGCAGAGTTTGAAGGCTTCTTTCTCCATTTGGGGCACAACCCCTAGCCTGTTGCTGCCCCAGCCTAGGCTCCTCTGTGATCCTGGCAGCTGCTGAGTTGCTCCATGAACATCTGCATAAACAGGATTGTGACAGTCTGTCACCCAGGTGGAACTGTCCTGAAGCTGGAGGATTGTAAAAGCAATGCGTTGCTGCTGTTTTCAAGGTGAGATCACTGCCTTCCCAGCCTTGGCACTCAGTCGGTGTCGCTCGCACGCAGCCTTTCTCTGTAGGCAGCAAACTTAAAAGATACCAGAGAAGAGGAGAAGAAATCAAATGCTGGGTCAAAGGAGACCGGGAAACGTCTCTTCTTCTGGTGCAGGTGTGTGAACACGGAGCAGGACTCTCAGTCTCCTCACGCTGAGGTTCATCTGCAAGAT